ATTATTATTATGATTATTATTATTATTGTTATTATTATTATTATTATTCTTGTTGTTGTTGTTGTTGTTGTTATTATTATTATTATTATTATTGTTATTATTATTATTGTTATTATTATTATTATTATTATTATCATTTTATTATTATTATTATTATTATTATTGTTATTCTTATTATTGTTATTGTTATTGTTATTGTTATTATTATTATTATTATTATTATTATTATTTTTTGGTAACTACAATTTTATTAATTACCAAGATAAACCATACAAAGCAAGTAGCTATCACAGCATACTTTGAACAAGAAAAGACTCAGCAAAAACTCTATCTACAACTACCTACTTAACACCATAATGACTTACATTTCCTTTAAATCTAGTAGAAGTTCTAACAATAGTAATGTAGGTTATCTCCTTAACAAGTTGATCCTCAGTTTTACTCTTGTGCTCAAACACTCTGCTATTTCTCTCCATCCACAGGCCATAGATTCCTTCAGCAAGTATAGTCTTGAACTTCATTGCTTTTGCTCTCTTCCCCTTCCCATGAATAATGCACCATTGCACAAAATGCTCCCATGTCATTGGCACATCAATTTGTTTTCCTGTCCAGTTTAGCAGTCTCCCCCATAGTCCTCTTGCAAAACTACATTGTATAAACACATGTTCTGCAGTTTCTTCCTCATTCTCACACAATACACAAGTCTTCTCTACTTCAACTCCCCACTTTGCCAGTCTATCCACAGTTACTAGCCTTTGATTCATCATGATCCACATTGTGAAATATGCTTTTGGCCTTGCAGCATTGTTGAACATAAGACAGGTCCATATTGGCTTTTGTTGTTCCCCCATCATGTGCTCATAAAGTTGTCTGATAATCCCTTTATTCTTCCTTTGTAGTTGCTGGGCTTGTCCACATTTTGTTGAGCATTCATGATTTTTTGTATCATCCAGCTTGCTTGTTTTCTCCTTTGCCACTCTCTTTGCCCCTTTATATAGTAAGTGTGTATCCATTTGATCCATAGTTTATCTTCCTTGTTTGCTAGATCCCAGCATAATTTAGCTATAGCTGCTCTATTCCATATTCTCATATTGATCAACCCCATGCCTCCTTCACTTTTTGGACAGCACACTTTCTCCCAAGCTATCAAAGCTTTTTTTGTAACATATCCAACCCCTGACCATAAGTAGCTTTTGCATAAACCTTCAATCACTTTTATTATCTTTGCTGGTATGATAAACAGTTGTGCCCAGTAGGATTGAACTCCAAACAAGACTGTCTTAATCAGTTGAGTCCTTCCAGCATAAGACAGCTTTTTGGCTGTCCATGAATTGATTCTTGCCATAATCTTGTCAATGAGAGGATACCATTGCATTATGGTCATCTTCTTTGTTGAGAGAGGCACTCCCAAGTATTTGAAAGGTAGTTCCTCCATTGCATATCCCATCTGTTGTATGATTTGCTGTTTTACCTCCCTTTGCACTCCTCCACAGTAGATAGAACTTTTTGCCTGATTTTCCTGCAATCCTGAGGCTTGAGAGAACTTTGAGAAACATCTTTGCAGCATCTTGATGGACTCCAGATCACCCCTTGAGAACAGAAGTAGATCATCTGCAAAACATAGGTGAGTAATGGCCAGTTTGGCATATTTGGGATGATATTTAAACATTTTTTCTTCTTTGAGTTCTTTGAACAATCTACTGAGGTATTCCATTGCTATGGCAAAGAGAAATGGTGACATAGGGTCCCCTTGTCTAAGCCCTTTTGCTGCATCAAATCTCTGAGTAGTTTGTCCATTTACAACAATAGTATAATTCACTGTTTTCACACATTTCATCACCCATTGAATAAACATCTCAGGGAATCCCAAGCCTCCCATTACCTGTTCTAAGAAGGACCACTCAACTGAGTCATATGCTTTCTGCAAATCTATCTTCAGCATACTCCTAGGAGATAAATTCTTCCTAGTATAGGACTTAACTAGCTCATGAGCCAATATAATGTTATCTGCAATCTTCCTCCCTGGTATAAAACCAGCCTGACTTTCACAGATAATATCAGCCATAACATCATGCATTCTCCTTGTTATCACCTTTGAAATGATCTTATATATCACAGTGCAGCATGCTATAGGTCTGTACTCCTTCACAGTTTGAGGATTTTGGACCTTTGGGAGAAGAGACACAAGAGTGCAGTTGAATGGTTTAAACAATTTCCCCTTTATGAAGAAATCTGTGACAGCTGTTACCACATCCTTCTTAACAATCTTCCAAGTATGTTTAAAAAATAATGCATTATAACCATCTATACCTGGAGCCTTATCATTCCCAATAGACTGCAGGGCTGTATATATCTCCTGTTCTGTTACTTCTGTACACAGTTGGATTCTTTGTTGTCTTGATAGCACTGGACCTCTCTTCATCACCTGAACATTAATGGCTGGGAGTTGACCTGCTGAGGACCCCATAAGGATTTTGTAAAAACTGACAAATTCCTCTTGAATCTCCTGAGGTTCATACAACATCTTCCCACCTAGAGATAATATACTTCTAAAATGCTTCTTTTGATTTCTTTCCTTTATCACTGCACTGAAATACTTGTTGTTAGTATCCCCTAAAGTGATCCATCTAGCTCTTGATTTTTGCCTTAAAGCATTTTCTTCTAACAATGACCATTTCTCCAATTGTATTAATAGATCCTTCTCTTGATTAACTAAATCATCTTGTGCTTGATTATATATTTTGTCTTGCAGATCTTCAAGATCACTTCTTGCCTTCTTTATCTTCTTACCTATATATTGGAACTCTTTCTTATTCAATTGCCTCAATACTGGCTGGAGAGCCTTTAACTTGTACAATATTCTACTCATTACTTCACTTCCAAAATCCTGCTTCCATACTGTATCCACCATTTCCAAAAAGCCTTCATGTTCAATCCACACATTAAAGAATTTAAAGCCTACTCTGATCTGATGATAACTCTTTTGTAGTGTCAAGTGCATAGGGCTATGATCAGACACTCCTGGAACCCCATAATCTAGACTAACATGCCCCCATTTATCCATCCAACAATCATTCCCAAATGCTCTATCTATTCTACTGGCAATTCTAGCAGCACCAACCTGTTTATTTGTCCAAGTATAATAATTACCTTTTCAGTGATTCCCATATCTTTAACACATTCCTCAAAATCCTTGATCTCATTCAATGTAACAGGAACTCCATCTAATCTATCTTTGGGAGATAAAACAGCATTAAAGTCACCTATTATGATCCAAGGTTCTGAAACACCATGAGTTAACATCTTCAATTCAGTCCACAAACTTCTCCTCATTTCTGCAGTATTATATCCATAAACCACTGTGACATTAAACTGATAGCCTTTGCTTCTTTCATTAACCTGGCAATGGACCATTTGAGCAGTACTCTTTACCAACTTTATATCATACCAACTATCATCCCATACTAACCATATCCTCCCATTTGCAGCATCCTTATAGTTATGTATGATCTTCCACCCTGGAGCAATTGCTTTTAAAACAGCAGTACTATTTGTCTCTTTAACTCTTGTTTCAATTAACCCTGCTAAAGAGGTCTTATTCTGATGTAAAAGCAGTCTAATCTCCTTCTGCTTATACCTTTTATTCATCCCCCTCACATTCCACACACTCCACTTCATTAACAAGTCTTTGGGTCTCCACCTCTATCAACAAGAAGTGAAGCAAGTTTACTTTGCCTTAAGCTTTCAAAACCATTTCTAGTTGGTATAGCAGATAGTATAGGAAAATTAGCTAGGCTGAACTCCAATTGTTTACTACCAGTATGAGGCCTCAGATTGATCTCAGGTGTTTGTTTAAAAACATGTACCTCTTCATTCTCTATCTCTTGAATCTCTTTCTCCACATTCTTCCCATCTTCTTCAGGCTTTTTCATGCCTTCATCTGTCTTCCCCTGCTGTTGTATTGGCCCTTTGTACTGCCATGTTTGTGTGACTTTCTTCCAAGGCTTTCTCTTGTTTGGCATCTCCTCCTGTGTTACTGATTTGCACTGATGTCCAATCTTCTGGCATTTATCACAGTACTGTGGTTTCCACTCCATTACAACTTCTTGCACAAAAGTTCTTCCATTAGGATCAGCTACTGTAATCTGCTGAGGAATAGTTTTAGTAACATCCACTTTAATCAGCATTCTAGCATAAGAGATTCTTGTTTGCTTTGTTGTGCACTCATCAGCAAATATAGGTACCCCAATAGCACTTGCTATTCTACTCAGTGATCCAACTCCCCAACAATTAAGAGGCAACCTTGGAAAATTTACCCATAATGGAATTTCAGCTAAAAATTCTTTCCCAAAATCAAAATCTGGGCACCACTGTTTTAGAATAATGGGTCTATTGTTTATAGTGTATGGACCTGAGAATAGTATCTCATTCATATCATCCAGGTTCTGAAACTTCACAATGAAGTACCCTTCCTCATGAAGATACAATGTTGGTTTCCCTGCTTTGGTCCAGTTCATATTTATGTACCTATTCATAACATTATATCCAGGACATTCACCCACTACATAGGCTATGAGTGCACACTTCCACTTTGCTTCTTCATCCTGAACTTCTTTCCCTTCCAACTGCACCATTGTTTCTCCATTAACTGTTTGTGGAGGGAAATAGTTCAGCTGCATACCATTGTTAGCAGCACGATTGTTTTTAAACATATTGACCCATGGTTCTTTCTCCTTGCTCCCTTCTTCTCCTCTTATTCCCATACTTTCTTCAACTATAATGTTTCCATATTGCTTCATACCATCTGTTCTATTATTTTCCATCTTGTTCTCAGCTGCTATTTTCATTAGATCTGAGTTCTCACACTCAACCTCTTCTTCCATTACAGAATCTAAGCTCAATCGCCTAGCTGTTTCAACACTCACACTCAATCCATCATCATGGTTCTGTTCTACACTTTGAGCTTGTTGATGATTTGATGCTTCAACCTGAGATCCAACTGAGCAACCAACTGTCATTATTGACATTTTCCGACCTCTTCCACGTCCCCTTCCCCTTCCCCTCGCCATTTTCCACCTTCACTGCGCACGTTAGTTAACCTGCGCCGAGAGCATTTGGAGAGGATGATCTTCTTTTATTATTATTATTTTTTTTATTATTATTATTAATGTTACTATTATTATTACTATTATTATTAATATTATTATTATTATTGGTGTTGTTGTTGTTGTTATTATTATTAATATTATTATTATTATTGTTGTTGTTGTTGTTGTTGTTGTTGTTGTTATTGTTATTGTTATTATTATTATTATTATTATTATTATTATTATTATTATTACTATTATTATTATTATTGTTATTGTTATTGTTATTATTACTATTATTATTATTATTATTATTATTATTATTGTTATTGTTATTATTATTATTATTATTGTTATTGTTATTGTTATTATTGTTATTATTATTATTGTTATTGTTATTGTTATTATTATTATTATTATTGTTATTATTATTATTATTATTATTATTGTTATTATTACTATTATTATTATTGTTATTATTATTATTATTATTATTATTATTATTGTTATTGTTATTATTA